CTCTTTTGCAATTTTGCATGATGCTTTGTAATACGACCACCACATTCCACCCAACAATCCCCATTTCTTTTTTCTACTTCCCACAAACTGTGAGCATTTAGGATAACTTATTTAACTACAAGATCAAATATATGTTAGAGAAAAGATCCCTCGGATTTGACACTTTTGGCCACTTTAAAGAAAAACCCCACCAGTTTATTACTTCTTGTGTTCCTATCCAAATTCCTAACCTTCCCTCACCCCACCGCCACCCCCACAATCAAAAATCAAGTGAAGAGAAGTTGGGGGTGAAAATTGAAATAAGTTCCACTAAGAAATCTTGAGGTCCAGTCTTGTACTGTCTCAAACATACCAAACATGGGTCCTAGACGCGTACGTTGGCATTCTCACCGGTAGCAAATTAACCATTTCCTTAGCTTTAAACACGTACAATCTCATCTTCAACAGAGACCATTAGACTGATCTCATCCACTTAAAAATTTGTGTAGAAGTTGCTGATTCTTGAAGATTGAAGATGATCTTTTGGAGAAGAAAATAACTTTGACGGTTGGCTGTAGTCATTTCACGTTACCGCATTGAATAAAAGAGAAATGAATAAGTTTGCTTTTAGGTCTTAAAAAGAAGAAATGCCCATCACAAATGGCCCACTAGAAAACCGACCATAACATCAGTGATTAGACTACAAAAGGGAGATCTATATTAAATTAAAATCATATGAAAAATGTCATATAAGGAATCGTTCAGTTTTTGCTCTTCCACTACTTGAAGAGAAGGAAAATACCGGCCACAATTTTTCCGGTTTCTGCATGAGACGTGTTGTCTGCATAAGGATTTTTTACAGTGGTTTAAATATTAAATATATTCTTGGTATAAAGTGGAAAAATAGTATATAAATTATATGTAAAGGCCAAGAAAAGATGGGACCTTCAAAACAGAATTTAAAAAACAGATGTGCACTATCAAAAAGTTGCAAGTAGCCAAAGGCTAAAACGGTGTTTTGGGGTAATGAAATCAGTTGCAGACAACATAAGTCATGCTCGATGCTCTGGTGCATCACATGGGCTGCGAGGAGAATGTAACATGCATGCAATTCTTTTGCCTTGGAACATGCCAACATTTCCTTAGCCACACTTCCTCTTGAAGGCGAGCCGGGATATATATGAAATTTATTGGTTTGAGATTCTAGATATTTTACTTATTGAGTTCTAAATTAATAATTTGTACATATTCAATAAAATTTTAAGACAAATATGTGTACACCAAAGCTACAGGGCTGAACCCGTTACCTGTATTTTAGCTCCGCCCCACTTCCTCCTCTCTCCCAAGCCTCCCTACCCCCCCCCCCCCCCCCAACATATATATGTGTGGCGCGCACCCTTTCTTATGCGTTTGGCATTTGAATTTCACCGGTCGGACTAAAAAGTTTCTTACTCCATATAAGCCAAGCTAAAAGAAATAGTGCTTCTTACCCGGAGTGTATGTATACATTCGTAATTTCGTATGTACATCCATAGGCATCAAGAAGAAAGAAAAGTTATACTATGTGTTTTGTCATATCAAAACAACTAGAGATAGAATTGAACAATTAATATTGGTGTTGCTTGTCAATCCATTCCTACCACTTGGCAAATAACAGAGATAATATTTTTATTCCTTTTCTTTTTCTTTAATTTCTTTTTCCTCTTTTGATGGGTGAGAAGAAAAAGGTTCTTTGGGGGAAGAAAGGGGTGGGGTTGGATAAGCGGCAAAAGACAGAAATCGAAACCTAATAAGAGGATGTAATAAAAGCTTATCTAAGACGTAATTAAAAAAAATGTGATTTAACTAGGGTATAATCCCCAACAACATTAATTGCCAATAGAGCATTGACACTTGAATAAACCATGCAGGTTTCTTCAAGTGCAACCGTTTGGACGGTGAAAAACTACATATATTCCCATTACCAAATTCTTTAATAGTTTCTAATGCATCTTTTTCTCATGGACTAAACTCTCCCTCTCTTAGGAATACTTACTTTTTACTTCTACTACACTAAGACAATATGGAAAAAGCTCGCGTTCATGGCTTTTTGAAATGGACAAGGCCCTACCTTTTCATTAGGTAGAATCCACACGTCCATTCCATCTCATTTAAGTAAGAAAAAGAATCAAAGATAGAATTTTTTTTGTACATATAAGAGAAAAAAGAAGTAGAATGACAAGAATAAGACAGATTGGCCCCCACCCCCTCTCTCTTCTCAATAAAACTCACTCACCAAATAGCCGCTTTTTATTGGGAAATTTTAGCACCCTAATATATTGACACGTCTTTTTGAAGCCATTGTAGAGTCCAATTCTTGCATGTATATATACTCTCATCTTGGTTTGCACCCTTACTTGCATTCAAAGCTCTAAAACAACAAAAACACACCTCACTAAATTAAAGCTCCAACAAAAGGTTTCTCTTTATATTTGTTTATTTCTCTTTCTTTTTTCTCCCACAAAACCTTAAGTATTATTATCTCTACTATTACATCTTCAAGCTTACCAATCTCTTCACAGAAAAGAAGAAAGAAAACTAGCTGCCAGATAGATAGATATATAGATAAGAAAACTATGTGCAACCAAAAGACAGATTCCCCATCCTCCTTTGTCTCCACAGAAAAAGCTCATTTCGTCAACTCTCGTAAACCAATGGATTTTCAAGCTGATGATGAAGAACTGCTTCATAGATGGCCAACCCCAACTGAGGTAAAAACAACTGCCACCTTTTCCCCTACTCCAAATACCAAGTGTGGAGCTACATTATATTAGCTCAGTTGAATCCCCTTTATCGAAAAATTACATGTGTAAACAAAAATTTATGTATAAAGAAGCTCTTCGTGCATTGAACGTGGATTTAAATAATTATTTTGGGTTGCAGGTTCAACTCACTTTAGCATTTTTTAAATTTTCTTAGTAAAAATCTTGCCTCCGTCCTGCCAACTACTATACTTATATATGCACGTGAAGTTTTTTTCGAGGCTATAAAACTAACTCTCTCCTTGCTTTTGCTTTCGTTAAAAATCAGGCTTTTGAAGAAATCAAAGAAATAGGGAAAATTTCAGGACCAACAGCACTCACAGGGTTGGTACTATATTCAAGATCCATGATCTCAATGCTTTTTCTTGGATATCTAGGGGAACTTGAACTTGCTGGAGGCTCTCTTTCCATTGGCTTTGCTAATATCACTGGCTACTCTGTAATCTCTGGCTTGGCTATGGGAATGGAACCAATTTGTGGACAAGCTTATGGAGCAAAACAAATGAAACTTTTAGGCATAACTCTTCAAAGAACAGTACTTCTCCTTCTTTCAACCTCAATTCCTATCTCTTTCATGTGGTTAAACATGAAAAGAATCCTTTTATGGTGTGGCCAAGATGAAGATATTTCCTCTATGGCCCACACTTTCGTTGTCTTTGCAATTCCTGACCTTTTCTTCCTTTCTTTGCTTCATCCCCTAAGAATTTACCTAAGAACACAAAATATTACATTACCTTTAACTTATTGTTCTGCTATCTCTGTTCTTCTTCATGTCCCACTCAACTTCCTTCTCGTGCGATATTTTAATTTGGGCATTGCTGGAGTTGCTTTAGCAATGGTTTGGACAAATTTGAACCTTTTCCTTTTGCTCTGCTCATTTATTTACTTTTCGGGTGTATATAAAGATTCTTGGGTGGTTCCTAGCATGGATTGTGTACGTGGGTGGTCATCTTTATTAGGTTTAGCAATTCCCACGTGTGTATCCGTTTGTCTTGAATGGTGGTGGTATGAATTCATGATAATGCTTTGTGGACTTTTGGCAAATCCTAAAGCTACCATTGCTTCTATGGGAATTCTCATTCAAACAACTTCTTTAGTATACGTCTTCCCATCTGCCTTAAGCCTTGGTGTTTCGACTAGGGTTGGGAACCAGCTCGGTGCCAACCGGCCCGCTCGAGCCCGAATTTCAATGATAGTGTCACTTTTTTGTGCTATAGGATTGGGTTTGGGAGCAATGTTGTTTACAACTTTGATGAGACATAAATGGGGTCTTTTTTTCACAAAAGATGTAGAGATTCTTAAGTTAACATCCATTGCATTGCCTATAGTAGGGCTTTGTGAGCTAGGGAATTGTCCACAAACTACAGGTTGTGGGGTGTTAAGAGGAAGTGCAAGGCCAACAATTGGAGCTAATATTAATTTGGGTTCATTTTATTTAGTTGGAATGCCAGTAGCTTTTATTCTTGGATTTATATTAAAAATGGGATTTGCTGGACTATGGCTTGGCTTGCTTGCAGCACAGGCCTCATGTGCAACTCTTATGCTTTGTGTGCTGTTCAAAACTGATTGGAAAGTTCAAGTAGAAAGATCAAAACAGCTAACACAATCTTCTTCAACTGCTGCTTCATTACCAGTGACAATGCCTTTGGATTTGGACAAGAAGAAGAAGGCTAATAATAATCTTGAAGAGACTTTGTGCACTAAAGAGGAAGATGATTTGCTGAAATCTACAGACACAGACCCTCTCATACCTTCCACTACTACTACTACTACTTAATTTATCCACTTTATTGTGCATTGATTGGATTAACTCCATTTTTTTTACTTTTCCTTTTCTTTTTTGGTCCCTCCATATACCCTTTGAAGGGTTGATGTGAAAAATTGTTCGTTGGGATTTCATATACTAATTGTTAACATTTGAAAAGAGTGTATTGATCAGGATAAACCTACTAGTTATATATTCTCTTGCTGTTTTTTCCCTCATCATGCCCCTTGTAATAATAATATGGAATATAGAGATATACATGTATCATCTTAGAAGTTTATTCCCAATTTCTATATTTTCTCCAACTTTAATTCTCATCTAGAATAACCCTACTCAAAAATCCCTTTCAAGCTTGTTAATAAAAAGTGCATTTTAGTCTCAACGTAGAAAATTCTCTCTATTTATACATATACACTAGCTAATATGGTAAAGATACTAGTATAAGTGAATTCTAACCTGTGATAATAAGTTACTCATTATTTTTGTTATTGATTAATATTTTTCAAGAAATTTACCGATATTTATTTAATAAATAACCTGATTATGTAAATAAAACTTAAACTCTTTGTATACGTTGGCATTGACCGAAAGGGGAGAGAGAAGGAGGAAAAGGAGTTGTCGGTTGTTTGAAGGTGTGGGAGCAAGGATATATACACCTAACAAGCTTTCTAATTGTTCCATACCATATAAGGGCACACATTGACTACCAAAAATGGAAAAGTTTAAGCATATCACCATATACTATACTATACTATACTACATTACTTAAACATCAAACTTCAACTCAACGCAAACAAACTATTATTTCCTCACTTACTTTTTCTTTCTTTTTTGACAGGTTTTTCGCACTTCTTTTTCTTTATATATTAAGTATACAGTTTGCCTTTTGTTTTTCTTTTGAGGGTTTCTTCATTTTCTTATAGGTTGCTTTACAACGCATCCTTACTTCAAAAGTCACTCTTGCATTCGTGAGTACTACACCTCTCTCTCTCTCTCTCTCTCTCTCTCTCTCTCTCTCTCTCTCTTCTTGTTTAATTTCCAGAATGTTAAGTAGGGTAAAGCAGAACAACACAACCAAGAATACTTTCCACAATTGTGATTATCATGAGAAACTTTTTTTGACTTTTCTGATTCCATCATTTGATAATATTGTATGCTCCATCTCAATCCTTTTTGACTTTTCTGCCTATTGTTATAAAATCATCAGAATCTTTTACAACGTTTCATAATTATTCTGAGCTTTTTGAAACAGTATACCATCAACTCTTAACAACAATAATAGTACTAATATGTTGAGTATTATTAGTAAGCAATTCTAATGATAGAGGAGCCTTGGCATAACTGGTAAAGTTGTTGTCGTCACGGGTTCGAGCCGTGGAAACAGCCTCTTGCAGAAATGCAGGGTAAGGCTACGTATGATAGATCCTTATGGTCCGGTTAGTGCACCGGGCTGCACTTTTTTTCCAATGATCCAGCTAGTTAAATGTGCCTAATAATAATAAGATTTTTGTTGCATGAGATATACAACAAAAAAGTGAGTAGCATGAGGAGAGAAAGAGAGAATGGTGCATGTATGTATCCAAACAAATGAAGAAGTGAGTGATAATTTTTGGTAGTAGAGTGGAGAAGTGTAAGAGGGAGGGGGCCCTGTTTCTAACTGAAGAAACAAAATCCAGCTATTATTGCCTCTGTCTACTTCTCAGATGACAAAACTTTGTGCAGTGCCTCTGCATAGCAGTTTCCAGCCTCTTCCCCACCATCTTAGTGTCCATTTCTTCTTACAAAAATTTGCACCCACCACTGACCCACTAGCTCCACCAAATGAAGGAGTACTATTTGATAGGATTTTTATTGAACAAATAAAGGAGGCTTACTACAATATCAATCACAATCCTTTCATGGTCATGCACGTAAGCGGATTTAGGGCAGGTTCTGTGAATTCAACTTAATCTATTATTCTCTGACCTTCCGTCTTTTGATTAGAGTAGGTTTTGTAAAAGAGCAGAACGTAACGCCTGCTATAGTCACAAGTTTATTTATATATAGTCACAACTGTTGTTATAGTCAGCAATATTGAGACTTCTAGCAAAAAAAAAAAAAAAAAAAAAAAAAAAAAAAAAAATTTGATTGGGAAGGTGATGCTCCCAGTGAACTTATTATACCCCAACCCGTCACAGATAAACAAATAAAGTATACTATAGCGCTTGAGAGAACCATATCAAAAGAACTCGGCAGGATAACCAGGGGTGCTCTCCAATCTTTTAATTAAAAAAGCGACTGAACTATGTATAAATTACATTCATTTTGAATCCAGTGACTCTAGATGAAAAACAAGGAAGTGAGCTGAGAGGAGAATTACTTCTCTAAACTATCAAATTAAAGTTTTAACTCTTCAAATTTTTTTTTTTTTTGGGGTGAATCTAAGACCTGTAAGCTGCTAATCACGCAAAGTACCCAATTATCTAGATATTTTTAAAATCACATTTGCTTCATATTTTTGAAAAAAAAAAAAAAGAAAGATAAAAGCTTATAATGAAATGTGCAGTGGTGTAGCCATACCTATCATATGACTGTTCCCTTATCCCCTTTATGTGGAAAATGATTACGACAATATCATAGTATTAGTCCCACAGTTTTAAGTAGAGCAAAGAATTATATTGCTGGAATATGTGGTACAGCAAGGACTTTGCATCAGCTTGCTTATATATATCAGAGACTCACTCCTAAATTAGGTCAATTTTTTAGATAACTTCAGCAGTTCAATTCTTGTCCTCTTTGCATCATCTATTATCTCCTATTTCTAAATGCGTCACCTCCAAATCAGTAGCGGATGTAGCTTATTTCAACTTAAATTCTGTATTATATGTGAAAATTACTAAAATTCTAACAAATACTATTATGTTGTGAATCCATAATTATAAAAAGTCCAACAAGTTTAGGTGTTAAGAGTTTTAAGAGTCGAACCCCATTAAGTTTAATTAATTCTACATCCTTATCTGCTTCAAAGTAAACGTTTCTTTTAAGGACTAGGTAGCTCAATTTTATTTCAGTAGTAAATCTTCTATTTAGGAATTAATTTGGTAAGTTCTTTTTGGTTTAGCTATGCAGATAATATTGTTTACGGTTCTAGTTGAAAATTGGTAGAATATTGTTCCATCATTGAAGGGTATCCTAGCTAGTGCATGAACATAAATAACTAAAAGGGAACCATAACAGAAGTCTCGGAGATTTGATACTGTTCTTTGAAAGATTTGCTGTTGCTGTTTGACAGTTTCTTTTTTAGAAAGAAAATATATATATATATATATATATATATATATATATATATATATATATATATATATATATATATATTAAAACTTTAATATACTAATTAAATACTCTCCAAAATTCTTATATAAAAGTAATGCCACTCATATTTCTAGTATCTATGAACGTGCGTTGCACGTTANCATTAAGTTTAATTAATTCTACATCCTTATCTGCTTCAAAGTAAACGTTTCTTTTAAGGACTAGGTAGCTCAATTTTATTTCAGTAGTAAATCTTCTATTTAGGAATTAATTAAACTTAANACAAGTTACGATTAAAACATAATAAAAGAGTTTAGAAAGCCGCTCGGCATATACAATACACACTCTCAAAACTAAATCAAACTCCAAAAACCCGGAATCTCATGAAATCGCAAGCTAGAGAAAACTGCATAGTGTTCTAACTCCAGAATGTTTAATCAAAAGAAAAAAATACAGGAAGTCTAAAGCTAAAGGGAAGAATAGAGAGGGACTTCTAGGTACTTATCACGACCCAAGTTCTCCCTCGATGAACTGTCGTGATGGCACTTAGTCTCTACGACTAGGTAAGCCTAGCAAATTGCGGAAAAAGGAAAATAAAATACGAAACTAACAAGTTACGATTAAAACATAATAAAAGAGTTTAGAAAGCCGCTCGGCATATACAATACACACTCTCAAAACTAAATCAAACTCCAAAAACCCGGAATCTCATGAAATCGCAAGCTAGAGAAAACTGCATAGTGTTCTAACTCCAGAATGTTTAATCAAAAGAAAAAAATACAGGAAGTCTAAAGCTAAAGGGAAGAATAGAGAGGGACTTCTAGGTACTTATCACGACCCAGGTTCTCCCTCCATGAACTGTCGTGATGGCACCTAGTCTCTACGACTAGGTAAGACTAGCAAATAGCGGAAAAGGAAAATAAAATACGAAACTAGCAAGTTACGATTAAAATATAATAAAAGAGTTTAGAATGCCGCTCGGCATATACAATACACACTCTCAAAACTAAATCAAACTCCCAAAACCCGGAATCTCATGAAATCACAAGCTAGAGAAAACTGCATAGTGTTCTAACTCCAGAATGTCTAATCAAAAGAAAAAAAATACAGGAAGTCTAAAGCTAAAGGGAAGAATAGAAAGGGACTTCTAGGTCTGCGGACGCAGCAGATATACCTTAAAGTCTCTGATATTGCCCGCCTCACTGATAGAACGGGTGAGCAGAAGAACCTGGATCTGCACACGAAAATATGTGCAGGGAAGGGCATGAGTACACCACAACGGTACCTAGTAAGTGCCAAGCCTAACCTCGATCGAGTAGTGACGAGGAAGGTCAGGGCCCTACTGGTTATATATATAAAACAAGGTAAAACAGTACGAAATGTGACAGTATAATTAAAATACTAACAATCGATAAAGAATAAAATCACAGAAAGAATATAATTCAATACACAGTGATAGCAACCGGGGATCTCCCGGGATATCGTCCCGTAGTCCCAAACGCAAAATTTATAGAGGATCTCCCGGGATATCGTCCCGTAGTTCAAAAGTTATATACAGGGGGATCTCCCGGGATATCGTCCCGTAGTCCCAATTATAAATGTGCAGGAGGGTCTCCCGGAATACCGATCCGTAGTCCCAAAGTAAACATGCAGGGGGGTCTCCTGGAATGCCGATCCGTAGTCCCAAAGTAAATACACAACAGTCTCAAGAAGGAATCCTACAACTCTATTCAGGTTCGTATCAGGAAAACACGGAATTTCTACGCTAAACATGCTACACAAAATCTAAGTAAGCAGTTAAAGCAGGTAAGATAGTTAAGTCACATAAGAATGCTTTCCTAAGCTAAACAGAAGGTTTCATATACTAGTCTTGTTCAAGGAGAAACATAGATAAGTATTTAATGAAAACTGGGTTTTTCAATAATTAGCACGTGTACGCACTCGTCACCTCACGTACACGACATTCA